GGGAGGGGGGGGGGGGGGGGAACACCGGGCCTATCCCTGAAAGCAATTGGCTACATTGAGCATCAATTCAGAAAGCAGGCGCGCACGCCCCTTGTCACTCGGCTATCGATCACCAGACTTGAGATACTTCGGCCCGTTCTTCACCAAAGGCAAATTGACGGAACTGAGACTCTGTTGGACACTGCTGCACAGGAGAAACAAACCCAAACAGATTGTGCCCATTCCAATACAGTATCGATCTTGTAACGACAGGATTTTTTTTTCAAAATTGCCCAATCTCGGAATGTAAAATTCCTTCGCACACATCTACCCTGGGTACTTTCTCACAACATGGTTGGGCTACAAAACAACGTTTTCGCAGCTTTCTTCGCAGACTTTATGTAGTCCTCCGCTCCTGATAAGTCAACCAGACCACCAAGGCGTTACATGTGTGCACCTTGTCAGAGGATAGAAAAAGGTCATCATTTTGTCATGTTTTTTGATACGTGCGTCTCCATTCATTATTCCTGTTGTGTCCACCGGCGACTGTAGCAGCTGCTGTGGTAGACATTGCATCGTTCGCGTCATTGTTGGCGTCATAATTCCCTAAACAGAAGCGAAGGCGTTCCAGAGTCTGCAAAGCTCAACTCAAGTAGAGAGTACACACCCATGTGCCACCGTTTATTTACACAACCGGCAGAAACCGTCTATATGCATGGCCCAACAATTTGATGAAAGGCCGGCCTGCAGTAGACGGTGAGATTGTTGGACAGGGACGCATGTTACAGGTGGACAGCAAGGACAACGTGTAAGAGATTATTGCTGTGAGATTGTTGGACAGGGACGCATATTACAGGTGGACAGCAAGGACAACGTGTAAGAGATTATTGCTGTGAGATTATTGCCGTGGGCCTAATTCCGGATTGGTTGCTCAGGACCGGCTCTGCTGAGCGCGGCTCAATGTGCCGTCCGGAACGTGTGCGGTATGGCTTCGGTGGCAAAAGGGAATACAGGTGCAGTGTCGCAGATAGATAATGAAGGCAAAAAAGAAGGAAGGTCTGGAGCAGTAGAAATTGAATGGTTCAATCGGAGTGTGGGAGAAGAGGCAATGAAGTCTCACGGAGCTACATTTCAGTAGATTTGGGGCACGGTACCTGTCAGAAGGGCGTTTCGGGCCACCGGCGGAATGATCGCGGCAGTATCGTGCCAGCCGAAGACTGAAGTCCGACTCTTTAGATAAGGCCTTGGTCACCTCTGTTTCCGTGGCCCCGTTTGTGTTGCTGCTGCTCCCGCTCCTCTCTCTCTCTTCTTGTCTGAGGTTTCACGATGGTTTCGTTATTGTGTTTAGATGAAGTGTGCTCTGCTAATGGGTACGGAGACCTTCAAGGGCATCGCAGAAGAAGAGGGACGGTGTGCGTGGTTTATCACACCATCTCAGTGGGAGGGAAAACATTGCATATGAAGGGGACGAAGGCGTTTTAGGTCAATCCCTTACGTTTTGCTTTGTCCGCAATTTGGCTTTGGGAAGGCGAAGAAAGACAAAGTCTTGCGTTTGTTGTTGTGGTGTATATTGGATGACGTCATGCCCCATATCAACCATTTACGCGTGCCTATGGAGTGAGGTGTAAACCGAGAAGTGCAACGGGAAGTAGGGTGCGCCTTGTTCAATGAGAGTAGAGGGTTTACTGTGAGGAGGAGTTATACAAAGATGGTCGGGCGAGATCATGCGAGGGAGA